CAGGGGGCCACCCCACACCTGGGATCCGGTCCTCCCACTACCCGTCCAGCAAGAACACTTCACACACATGCACAACCACTCACCGTGCATCCTGGCGCCTCCTGGTCACGGGCGTAAACAGCCCTGCCCGTGTCTGGCGGCCTGAGCTTGAGGACCACTGTCCACGACCCACATTGTGGGTCCATCAGTCCTGTGATTTGTTTCTCTAGTTAGCACAGGTGATCCGGCACTCACGCGTGTCTGCTTGGGAACCCTTTGGACAAATCCAAGACCTTGGCTCACATTCAAGACAGACATTTATCAACAGGGCAATTTCACCTGGCTCCCCTCCAATTCCAGAAGCGAAAAACTGAACGGATCGCCTTCCTTGAAAACCCGTTTGTACTAAAACCGTCCTCGTGAGCCTGCCTGCTCCGTCCCCAGCCACTGCAGACGGGCAGCCGTGTGACAGTGCACACTACATCACTCTCCTCATGGTGGTCGGTCGGGCTGGGATGGAAGTGCCACCTGAGGTCAGAGGAGGGCACGCAGCACCTGAGTTACGGTCCTGGCTCGGGGCCAGGCCAGTCCTCCCTTGTTGAGACACCCAGTGAGGTAGCAGTTGTCTGCCAACAGAAAACGGGGTCAAAGGTACTTTTTAGAGTAGGACTTAGGACATTGCTTGCAGGAAGCCAACTGTTTCGCTGACATTCTGCAAACAGACCTCTTTGCGGGACTCTGGCAGCCCCATGAAAACATGTCTGGCAGGGACCGTAGTCATGACAGCGACAGAAGCATTTGAGGGTATAGAGCTGCACTAACTAGGATATGGACTGGCTTCTGCTAACATTCATTTAAACGTGGCATGAAACATCAGAGAGCCACTGCTCAGGAGATTTATTTTCAAGTATTCTTGCATTCTTTAGAAATCTAATTTCTAACGCATACTGATTACCTCAGAGAATTATCTTGCAATTTTTACTGGCTAGCAGTGTTTACCTTGTTTGGCTTATGGTATAAAGTTGAGTGCAAAACATCTTCTAAAATTATTACTACAGTGCCCCTTCTTAGTGATTCTGTAACACAAAATCCAGTAGAATTCTCTGTATAAAAGCATTTCTTACAAAAAGTGCCTGAAACATACTCGTCCAGTTTATCCAGTGGTTACAAAGGACACCCCTCTTATCACCTCCGACATCTCGGTCACTTACTTGGAATAGTTCAGGCAAACCAGAAACTCCCACCCCAACACCGACTCTGTACTTGCTTCTAATTCCAACCCCTTCTCCCTTTCATAATTTATTTCCTTGTTTTTCTCTATAATTTTACCCTTTATGATTGTTCCCCTAATCTATTTCTTTGAGACTCTGAATAAATGGAGTCCTATCGGGAATGTTCTCTGTTATCTTGCTTAGTTCACTCAAAACTCTTCAAGATTCATTTATGCTTTTGGATGTGGTATAATATTACTCCATGCAAGCCGTACAATTTACTTACCCCCTTTAATGCTGATTGACATCTGGGTTGCTACAATTTGGAACTTCTAAGAACAAGGCTGCAGGGGGCATTCTCAGGCACGAACTCCAGGAAACACGTGCACACCTTTCTGTTGGCTGTATACCTGGGACCAGAATACTGGTCCTAAGATCTGTGTATCCTCAACCTTCTACAAAACGATGCCAAGTTGTTTTCCAAAATGATTCAACAATTTATCCTCTGATCACAACATATGAGAGGTAATTTTGCTTCACAAAATAACCAAATATTGGACTCATCTAATTTTTGCTGAACGGAGGGGCTGTGTAATGAATGGCTTCACAGTGTGGTTAATTTTGCATTTTCCTGTTGTCCAGGGAGACTGACCATTTTATCAACTTGTTACTGGCCAGGAAGGCTTTTTATATCTTCTACATACTAGGCAAAATTTTTTAATCTGTGGCTTCTCTTTTCACTTCCATTATGGTGTCTTTTGAGGAATGGAAATTCTCAACTTGATGTACTTGAACTTCTCAATCTTTCCTTTATGGTGAATGCTTTTGGACTTGCTTAAGAATTTCTCCCGTACCCTGAGGCCCAGAATGATGGCCATTCTGACTGGTGTGAGGTGATATCTCATTAGTGTGCAGCCTGGAACTGACCTTCGCATGGAGAGAGAGTCCAGCTTCCTCCCCCTCCCTCCCTCCCCTTCCTCTCTCCTTGTGTCTTCCCTTTATAGACATGCTATTGTCCCAGCCCCATTTACTTGTGCCCCTCCTCTGCAGTCTGGAAGTGCCACTTCTGCAGAGCATCAACGGTCCACGTGCGGACGGTCTGTTCTGGGCTTTCCACTCCGCTCCACTGGCCCACTCGTCTTCCTCTGTGCTGACCTCATTATCTTCACCACTAGTTTCACAGTAATTCTTGATGTCTGCTAGGGCCAGCCCATCTCTCTTTTTATTTCTATAAGTGTCTTCACTACACTCGGTCTTTCCTATTTTCATAACACTTTAAGAATGCACTTATCAAGTTAAAATTCAGACTGTGATTGCACTAAATCAACATATCAAGTTTTATAATGTTGAGTCTTCTAATTCATGAATATGTTACTCCATCAATTTAGGCTTTCTTTAATGACTCAGTAACATTTTACAGTTTTCCCACCGGAGGTCTGTGTATCTTTTGTTGCTTAATATTTTTGACCTGTCATAAGTAGGACCTTTTATTTCCTACATGTTTCTTGCTAATACACAGAAATATAATTTAGTTTTATATATTGGCTTTGTATCTAGGAACCTGACTAAAATCATTAATTCTAAAAATGTGAGACTTTTGGGATTTTCAATGCACGTAATGATTTTATCTGTGAAAAATGATTTTCTCCTTCCTTTTCAAAACTTATACTTTTCTTACATTATTCCACTGAGACCTGCAGTACAACGCTGAACATAAATGAGCATAGTTAGCATCCAAGTTCATCTCTACATTTGTCTTTTAAAATTTCTCTCAGCAACATTTTGTGCTTTTCAGTGAATATAGCTGTTTATACATTTTGTCAGATGTACCACTAAGTACTCAAAATAATTTATGCAATTTAATGGAAGATTTAAAAATTCAGTTTTTTTTTTAACTGAAGCACCGTCAGTTACAACATGTCAATTTCTGGTGTACAGCACAAAGTCCCATATTCATACATATATTCATTTTCATTTTTTTTAATTAAAGGTTGTTACAAGATATTGAAGATAGTTTCCTGTGCTATACAGAAGAAATTTGGTTTTTTAAATCTATTTTTATATATAGTGGCTAACATTTGAAAATCTCAAACTCCCAAATTTCTCTCTTCCCATCCCCTTTCCCCAGGTAACTGTAAGACTGTTTACTACATCTGCGAGTCTGTTTCTGTTTTGCAGATGAGTTTGTTAGTGTCCTCTTTTTTCTTTGATTCCACGTATGAGTGATATCATAAGGTATTTTTCTTTCTCTTTCTGGCTTACTTCACTTAGAATGATGATCTCCAGGCCCATCCATGTTGCTGCAAATGGCATTATTTCATTCTTTTTTATGGCTGAGTAGTATTCCATTGTATAAATATACCACAGCTTCTTTATCCAGTCATCTGTTGATGGACATTTAGGCTGCTTCCACGTCTTGGCTATTGTATATAGTGTTGCTATGAGCATTGGCGTGCACGTATCTTTTCAAATTAGAGCTCCCTCCAGATATGTGCCCAGGAGTGGGATTGCTAGATCATACAGTAAGACCATATTTAGCTTTTTGAACAATCTCCATACTGTTTTCCATAATGGGTGTACCAAACTACATTCCCACCAGCAGTGCAGGAGGGCTCCCTTTTCTCCACAGCCTCTCCAGCATTTGTCATTTGTGGACTTTTGAATGATGGCCATTCTGACTGGTGTGAGGTAATATCTCATTGTAGCTTTGATTTGCATTTCTCTGATAATTAGCAATACTGAGCATTTTCTCACGTGCCTGTTGGCCATTCGTATGTCTGCACTGGAGAATTGCTTGTTTAGGTCTCCTGCCCATTTTTGGATTGGGTTGTTTATCTTTTTGTTATTAAGCTGTCTGGGCTGTTTATATATTTCGGAAATTAAACCTCTGTAAGAGCGCTATTTCTCCTCTGTTGCTCCCTCCCCGTGGGAGAGGTTTCCCTACTGATTTCCTTTTTCTTCTTTTTTTTCTCTCCTACCAGGTTTTGTGAGGAATCTGGTCTTTTGAAGTAGATGATGTTCTGTCAAAGCTCAGCAGGTGTTCTGAGTGAATGGGTGGGTCCACGGATGTCTCCCTTGGTGTGTTTGTGGGAGAGCAGGAGCTAAGAGCGTCCTTCTACTCCGCCATCTTGGCCGCTCACTGTAGAACGCTCAGTGTGTTAATGCTAAGTGTTCTTTCTCCTACTGAATCTACTCCCTTCCACTCTCCAGAGGAGATGAATCTTACAAGAATGTGGAACTAACAGCACAGGGCAGAGCCTGGAACTGACCTGACCCTAGCTCTACACAGTGAATTCACTCACGTTACGACTCAGCGTCCCTGCCTGTGAAATGTGGGTAACACTAAATTATTCTGATCGCTGTTCCAAGTTCTGACACTCTGAATCTATGGATGCTTCCATGGTTCACGTCCAACACCTACAAAGGACCTCACTGAACAATAAAACCCCCTTTCCCACTGGCACAGACAACCTCTCCCTAACGACACCCCAGAGCCACTCACCACCACTGCCTGAAGGTGGCACGCATCCTGCTTGGCATCCCTATTCTCGTACATGTGACATCTTTAGAAATATGGCTAAACAACTCTTTCTCCTGCGTTACCGCCTTCCTTGCTTTTCTGGGTTACGAATTCGAAAACACCTCCTCCCTCAGATCATTCTCATCATTCAGGAGTGCAGAGAACTAATGTGCAGAATTCAAATATTCTTCTACTGAAAAAAGAATCTTTAGGTAAAACAAACAATCAAAAGTATTCTCAGTTCTCTGTAAAAGCATTCTATTGATAATAAAAGACAACCAACAGTACACTTCAGGTAGATAATAACAATTTAATAGTAATATCATGAAGTAAACAAACATATAAAAATCAAGTATTTAGTTTTAGATGTTAGAAATAATATACATAACAAGTTCAGCATAGTACTGATAGTGCTGCAAGATAATTTTTTACTGGTCAAATTACAGATTATGCCAATCAGGCTGCTTTGTACTCAAGAGTTTCAAAAATTCTGCTTTTATTACTAAAAGCATCTGGATTTCAGACAACTCTAATGAACCCGTGTAACACTTGGCACACTGCACCTGAAGCTGTGCCCATCATCGTTAACGATCCAACCGCATCCTCTCATGATGGAAACAAAAGAAGCCAACCTTTGCCCCTTTGGAACACCTGTTACCAAAACTGTCACAGTGTCAAAACAGAAACAACTCCTTTCTCCTTTTCAGTCTCAACCGCCCTTGAAGTACATGCATGAGAGGAAGTTAGAAACAAAGAGGGCAACTGTATGCTATATGCTTGGGTCAGTGTTAAAACCCGCAGACTAATTTTCAGATACAATCTTCCTGGTTCTGGTCCTCAAAGAGACGCAAAAATAATTAACCAACTTTTTAAATATAAGCAAATATACTTTTGCTATTGTTTCATAATCAAATGTTTCGATGAATTCTAAGATTGTTTGTATATTCTATTTCCACTGAGCTAACTCAGGAGACACACTGGCTGAGAAAGGACTGAGAATATAAAGTTTAAGGCTAAAAATTCCATCTTTGAAATGTAAAGAAATATAAAGATTTAAAGAGAGCCCTTGACAAGGTTATTTAATCCAGAATTGCTGGCCATGAAAAAAGTAAACAACAACAACAACAAAAAGTCACACAAATACTTACATGAAAAACCACACAGGTCCTTCACAACAAAAGTAATTCTTTCAACTTAAAGACATCTGCTGAAAGTGAAAGTTACCTGCTGCACGGCAAGTCTTCTTCAAAATCATTAAGTCCAGTCTGGATCAATGACTCTTACACTTTGGTTGGATGACTTAATAAAGTATATTTTCTGTAGGAGGTAACTATAGAACTCAACAAACAAAATAAAATAGATAAAAAACTAGAATTTAATTGAAAATGGCATGTTTCTCCATCATTTTCATGCGATCAGCATGCCCACCTTAAATCTTCGCATTTCGTTTATAAAAAATTGCTACATTTCCCACTGAAGCGTATTACTCTGATAAGCCAAATTTAAATACTTCCATATAGTTGAGGATTAAAGAATGTTCTCAGGATTATTCATCATTATCTGCAGAAAAAAGAAAAAAAATGTAATTCACTTCACTGCAAATCAAGCTGTATGTTTCTACTCAGTGAACAAAACCTCACCATCCTTTGTCATGCTAAAGGAAGAGAGCAGTAATGTAGTTTTTATTGTAACATCATATACTCGGTGTAAAGTATTCAGACAATACAATAAAGAATAAAGTGGGAGGCAAAAGCCCCCACACACCAAGGACACCAATATCGGTGACTCTTGTATACATCTCCGCAGACTGCTTTCCTATGCACACACAAATATACCTTAAAAATTACAAAATGCAGTTTTGAGACATGAGTTTTTCTCCTTAGAACATAATGGATGGAAGGATGGATAAGCACATGAAAGAGCAAGAATCCAGGTGGTGGGCATACGGGTGACAACTGTAAAGCCCTTCCAGTGTTTCCACATGATGGAAATGAAACACTGAGAAAGGATAAATCATGGATATATTCCATGTCAATTTCAATGGCTGTGTAGTATTTTATTTATGGACATGATGTAATTAAATTAACTACTTATATTTATGAACACTCTGGTGATTTTCCATTTTTCATTATTCTCAAAAACCACTGTCACATGAATTAAAGAGACTGCTTAATCCTACATTAGGGAGGAAATAAATGAAACAGAGACCAAAGTAAAAAAAGAAAAGATCCATGAGACTAAAAGTTAGTTTTTTTGAAAAGATCAACAAAATTGATAAACCTTTAGCCAGGCTCATCAAGAAGAAAAGAGAGAGGACTCAAACAAAGTAAGAAATGAAGGAGAAGAAATAATAACTGATAACACAGAGCTATAAAAAATCTACAGTTTTATGCCAACAAATCAGAAAACGTAGAAGAAATGGACAAATGTTTAGAAACATACAACCTTCCAAGGTGAATCAAGAAGGAGACAATCTGAACAGACTGATCACTAGTAGTGAAATTAACTCTGTAATAAAAAAATCTCCCAGCAAACAAAATTTCATGACAGGACAGCTTCACAGGGGATTTCTAATAAATACATAAAGAAGAGCTAATACAAATCCTTCTCAAACTATTCCAAACAATTGAGAAGGAAGGAACATTCTTAAATTCATTCTACAAGACCACCATGATCCTATTTCCAAAACCAGATAAATACACTACCAAAAAAGGAAATTACAGGCCAGTGTCTCCAAGGAATATAAATGCAAAAATCCTTAACAAGTATTAGCACACTGAATTCAGCAGTATATGAAAAGGATCATATACCATGATCAAGTGGAATTTATTCCAGGAATGCAAGGATGGCTCAGTATTTGCAAAACAATCAATGTGACACATCACAGTAACAAACGGAAGAATAAAAATCACATGATCATCTCAATACATGCAGAAAAAGTATCTGACAAAATTCAATACAACATCCATTCATGATAAAACTTTCATCAAAGCTGGTATAGAGGGAACTTTTCTCAACTATTTAATAAAGTCCTTGTATGACAACCCCACAGCTAACATATTCAACAGTGAAAAGCTGAAAGGTTTCCTCTAAAATTAGGAAGAAAACAGGGGTGCCCACTCTTGCCATTTCCACTTAACACAGTATTGGAAGTCCTAGCCACAGCAATCAGACAAGAAAAAGAAATAAAAGAGATCCAAACTGGAAGAAAAAGTATCATTGTCACTATTTGCAGATAACATGTTAGTTTATATAGAAAACTATGAGGTCTCCATCTCAAAACTATTAGAATAATAGAAAAAAATGAATTCAGCAAAATTGCAGGATATAAAAATAATATACAGAAATCTGTTGCTTTTCTACATGCTAATGATGAACTAACAGAAAGACAAAGTAAAAAAACCATCCCATTTAAAATTACATCAAAAAGAACAAAATACATAAGAATAAACTTATGAAAGGAGGTGGCAGACATCTATATTCTGAAAACTGTAAAACATTCACGAAATAAACTGAAGATGATTCAAAGGAATTGAAATATATCCCATGCTCTTGGATTGGAAGAATTAATAATGGCTATACTACTCAAAGCCACCTACAGATTTAATGCAATCCCTATCAAAATACCCATGACATTTTTCACAGAACTAGAACAAAAATCCTGAAATTCATACGTGGTCATGAAACACCCTGAATTTCCCAAGCAATTTTGAGAAAAAGAACAAAGCTGGAGGTATCACCCCACCAGACTTGACTATACTACAGAGCTATAGCAATCAATACAACACAGTACTGACCCAAAAACAGACACACAGAGCAATGGAGCAGGACAGAGAGCTCAGAAATAAGCCCACCCACCTATGGTCAATTAATCTTTGACAAAGGAGGAAAGAATATACAATGGAGAAAGACAGTTACAGTTACTCCACTGTTACAAGCAGTACTGGGAAAATTGGACAACAACATCTAAAGCAATGAGATTAGAACATTTCATCAAACCACATAAAAAATAAACTCAAAATGGATTAAGGACCTAAACGTAAAATCTGAAACCATAAACCTCTTAAAACAGAACATAGGCAGAGCACTCTTTGACATAAATCATAGCAATATTTTTTTGGATCTTTCTCCTAAGGCAATAGAAATAAAAGCAAAAATAAACAAATGGGACCTAATTAAACTTAAAAGCTTATGCACAGCAAAGGAAACCACTGACGAAACAAAAAGGTAACCTTCAGAATCTGAGAAAATATTTGCAAATAATATGACTGACAAGGGGTTAATATCAAAAATATATAAAACAACTCAGATAACTCAATACCAAACAACAAACAAACAACAAAACCAACCCAATCAAAAAAGGGGTGGAAGACCTGAACAGACATATTCCCAAAGAAGACATATACATGGCCAACAGGCAAATGAAAGATGCTCAACACTGCTAATTATTAGAGAAATGCAAACCAAAACAACAACGAGACATCACTTCATACCTCTAAGGTTGGCTCTCATCAAAACGTCTACAAATAACAGATGTTGGAGAGGATGTGGAGAAAAGCAAACCCTTGTACATTGTTGGTGGAATGTAAACTGGTGCAACCACTATGGATAACAGTACAAAGGGTCCTCAAAAAACTAAAAATAGAACTGCCATATGATCCAGCAATTTCCTTCCTGGGTATTTATCCAGAAAAAAAAAGACAACACTAATTCAAGAAGATATATGCAGTCCAATGTTCAGAGCTGTGTTATTTACAACTGTCAAGATATGGAAGCAACCCAAGTATCCATCAACAGATGACTGGATAAATAAGATACGTGTGTGTTGAGAGGTGGTGTGTACACAATGGAGTACTACTCTGCTATAAAGGAAGAGTGAAATCCTGCCATTTGCAGCAACATGGATGGGCCTACAGAATATTACATGACCTAGTAACTTAAGTCAGACAGAGAAAGACAAACCCTGGGTGGTATCACTTAAATGTGGAATCTGAAAAATAACACAAATTAATATGCATGCAAAATACAAACAGACTCACAGATACAGAAAACAAACTAGTGGTTACCAAAGGAGAGAGTGAAGGCCAGGAGGGGGGAAGTTCAGGGCATGGGATTATGAGGTTCAAACTACTCTATAAAACAGATAAGGAACAAGGACATTGATTGCACAGCACAGGTAATTATAAACATTACTTTGTAATGACTTTTAATGGAGAATATGTAAAAATACTGGATTACTATGTTCTACACTTGAAACTAATACAGTAGTGTAAACTATACTTCAATTTAAAGAGAATAAAAGCAGAACTGAAAAAAAGGACTTTCAAGTTATTCTAAGTCCAATCATTGTGTAACACTTGATTGTCTTATGATGAACAACACAAAACAGCAGGTTAACTTAATAGAGAAGTCAAGACACACTTCACACCAGCCTCGTGAGCTGATATATTTAGTTTTCTGAGCCCAAAGGCATCAATTCCAGGCTCTATGACCCAGAAAGCGGGTCCTGGTGTCCTTCCACCCGC